GCCATGGGTGTCTTGTCCAGGGGACTGGCATCCTGGCACTTAAAAATGGCGGAAGAGGCACTTAAACTAAAGCTCAAAGAATGAGATTTAGTTCAAGCACCATCACCACCATTTTTAAGTGCAGGACATTTTTAGGAGTGGAGCTGAGTGAGGCTAGGGTGGAGGCCTGCTCCTCAGGTTTTCGGTTATCCTTTTCTCCTGCAATAGGAAAGTTCTCCCCTGAGAGACTTTCCTGTAGATTGCCGTACAGCATAAACAGGGACGAGGAAGGGAAGCAAACAAAGGGCTGGTTGGGGAGCACAGCTGGTTTTCCGTTCTCTGTTTTGGAGACTGTTGAAATGGAAGGCTGCAGAACTTGGCCATTTGTTCCATTTGGCAGAGAGAGATGCAACATGTCTGACTGAGCAACAGGAAACACTCGGTGAGGCAAAGAGTTAAGGGAATAATCTGAGTCCCTAGGAACCAGAAGAACAGAGAAGGGAGAGATTATGGTTGGGTTCTTTGTTAAATTCAAGATGCCTTCAGGGGCACAAGTTTTATTCTTAAACAACTTAAAGAAAGGTGAAATGCATTTAGTGTAGAATTAAACTCCATGCACCATCCTTGAATAAAACCGTTCTCTGGAGCCAGGTGTGGAGAATACCTGACAGAATGAGTAATTTTCAGATATGGTATGAAGAGACGCATTTACATCGCATGTCAAATCACTTAGAGGCTGATTAATCAATTCTGGTGCTGCTGCATTATAATTTAGTTCTGTCTGTCAAGGGCTAGCATGGCTGCATGACGTACATCCACAGATAAATTCAAACCACGATAGGTACAGACAAAAAGATAAGATCATCAGGGAAGCTGGATTGTGACAGTGGAGCAACTGCGCAGCATGCTTATCCCTTCCCATCACAAAGGTCTGTCCTGTTTTCAACCCCACCCTCTAGGCCAGCGGTTCTCAACCTTTTTCCCCACCTGACCAGATAGGCAGTGCCTGGGGCCAGTGGGCAACATCTGGCCATGTGGAGCGGGGCAGCAAGAAGCCTGGCCTCACCCTAGCCCCACAGTGGGGAAGGGAGCTTCACCTAGCTCCACAGGGGACCCAATCAGAGCGGGGAGTGAAAAGGGCGAAGCGGGCATGGCTCAGCCCTGCAGAGAAGGGGGAGTGGCTCAGTCAGAACCCAGCCCTATGCAGGGGGAGGAGGAGGGCAGAAGGTGTAGCCTGATCTTGTGTGTGTGGCCTAGTCCCTATGGGGGAGGAAGGGATAGGGTCCCAGCCCATGGAGAAAAGGGGGCATGGCAAATGTGACCTGACTTTGACCAGGCACATGGGGCTTGGGAATTTGGAAGGAGAGAGTGATGGCTGTATTAACAGACACTGCTCCCCTGCTGCCAAACTTTCCAACCTGTGGCAAGACCCACAGGCCAGATACAATGGTTCCACAAGCCATATCTGACCAACGGGCCAGAGGTTGAGCTATGTTAGCTCTAGACTATGTAGAGGTTTTGCTTCCAATTAACATATTGTACCCCAGTTAATGAATTAAGTAAGCATTAACTTGCATGTAGAACTGGCAAAAAAGGTTTGGAACATTTGGGCTAAGGACAGAAGTTCTACACAAACCGGTATAAGTGATCAGAAACTAGTTCAAATGTGTAACACAACAGCAGTTCAAAATGGCTGAAACCAGTTTAAGATAAACTGGGATGGATGTATCAGACTTGACTGTTTAGTTTAAATTGGTTTATTGAACTTCTGTCTCAGATCCCCTCAAGGCATTTCTGAGGCTGGGAAGCCCAATGAGCTGACTGGCGCTCTTAGCTGCAAGCTCACCAGGCAACTGGCTTGTTACTCACCAGTGCATAGGGAGCCCAGAACCAGACACAAAATTACTGCATGCATGTTATTGAATAATTTTGTGGCTTATTCCCTGTTTTATTGCACCATTAATTACATGAACATCTGGGCAAGTTACTACTTAAGACATAAATTAACTGGTTAATCATATCCAGGG